AATAACTTACTAACCCATGTGAGTATATCAAATTTTGTCAAAAGAAAACAATTCACCAATATCACATTTGTCAAAAGAATACAATCAATCAATATCAAATTTGTCAAAAGATGAATAGTGACCAACCGTATTTTTCAAAACGTGAACAGTAAATTTTATAATTTTTTTTTTTTTTGTAAAATCAGATCTTGCACAGTAATTTTGATTTGAATAATATTTATAAAAAATACATCATGCAACATATATTTTAAATAGATAACATTTTGTATCAAAGAATGTAAAATATGTATATTAAAAAATCACAATTTATCTTATAATATTTTAGATATCGTCAAAATTAAACCATATGATTAACACCATCAAATTTTATTTAGTTTATTTAATCTAAGTTTGAATTACGCCAATGAATTGAAGTATTTAAAAATATTAATTATTATATTACAATTTTTGTAATGAAAATTTTAATTTAAAAACACCACAAACACATACAATTAGGCATACACATGCTCACGTAGTATAATAAAATTTAAATCATGCTAAAAAAATAATTTACGCACTACTAAAACCGATCTCTCAAAATATAACATTTTGACATTATATCATATTAAAATATGATATTAACATGATTAGAATAGCACAATCAACTAGAAATAATCTAGCATAAAAGAATGTAAGGTCCCTGTTTAGGTACAAATTAACTAAGCCTCCTTTGGGAACAGGCCTTTTCAGTAATTTTTTAGATTTTTAGTTAAAATGTGATGTAAAAAAAACTAGCCTCTGTTTGGAAAGTGGGTTGACTTTTTGGTTTTTTAACTTTTTTTTGACTATTTTAGCCTGGGCTAAAAAGCTTAGTTTGGGAAGGACTTTTTAACTTTTTGACTTTTTTTGTTTTTTTTTTTTTGTGAGAGAAGAGTGGAATGATTATGGGTTAAATGTGATGTTTTGTTTGTTATGACTAAAATAGCCTATTTTATTTTTTATGGCTAAAATAGCCCCAAACCTCCTTGCCAAACGGATTGGGATGACTTTTTGACATTTTACAAAAAAGATGTGCAAAAAGTAGAGAGAAAAAAGAATCTTTGACTTTTTTTGTATGGGTTGTTGGCTTTTTGATTTTTTTAGTAACTTTTTGACTTTTTGACTAAAAATGACACTTGCCAAACGAGGCCTAAGTATCCTAACTCATATATGTATAACAAATAAGAATAATGTTTTGTAGCTCGAAACTTTTCTCCTCGAATCCCCCGAATGCCCAAAACGACGTCGTTTTGGGCATTTTCCTTTTTTTTTTTTTTTCCTTCCATTTTCCAGTATGAAACGCAGAAAGGAAGAGGGAGAGAAAGAGAGAAAAAGAGGGGAAGAGAGAAAGAGAAGAGAGGTTCGCTAATCGCCGATTGTCGATCGTCGCCCAGCCCGATCGTCGTCGCAGCCTAGCTCCGTCGCAGCCCAGCTCCGTTGCAGCCTAGCCCCGTCGCAGCCCAGCCCTGCCGTCGCCTCCCGCCCCCGCTTCTGCCTCCCCTTCCTCTGCCTCCGCCTCCCCTTCCTCTGCCTCCGCCTCCGCCTCTGCCTAAGCACCTCTCTGGTTGATGTTGGCCCCTCCTTTCCTTCTTCTTCTTTTTAAATTCGGGGGATTTGGGGGAGGGCTTTTTCGAGCTACCAATCAAGATTCAACAAATAAATACATCCTAACATGCTCAATTCTTTTTCACAAATTTTTAAATTGAAAAAAAAAACAAGAAAAAAAATCCAATCAAATAAATCCAAACCAGGGTGTATAAAATTTGAGTGGGTTCGAGGCACCTGAGTGTGTTCAGCTTAAAGGTTGACTTCAATTTCATATGTGTTGGGCAGGTTGGGTTAGTAAGTCTTCCACCTCATCATGAATCACACATACTATTAAGTGGCATTTGATCAATGTCAATTTTATATTTCATTTAATTCTTGATAATTTTGACCTCCTAATAATAATTTAAACTTGTGAAATTCAATAATTCAATAAGCTTTTAAATGTTGAATTTTATTTTTTCAAATTCAACATTTAAAAGTAAGAGTGTATATAATATGCTTTTTTTTTTTTTAAAGATGTGTACATAAATCATTGCCCTTGTTTAAATATGGTACACATTATTTTGTGGAGAAAATTTCATTTTTATCCTTACATTTTGTCTCGATGATCAATTACACCCACAGATTTTAAATAATTTCAATTTTAATATTTAACCAAAGGTATTAGAGGTAAAATTAAAATTATTCGAAATCTAAGAGTGTAATTGATCATCGAAGCAAAGTACACTGATAAAAATGAAATTTTCTCCACAAAATAATGTGTACCATATTTAAACAAGGGCAATGATTTATGTACACATCTTTAAAAAAAAAAAAAGCATATTATATACACTCTTACTTTTAAATGTTGAATTTGAAAAAATAAAATTCAACATTTAAAAGCTTATTGAATTATTGAATTTCACAAGTTCAAATTATTATTAGAAGGTCAACATTATCAAGAATTAAATGAAATATAAAATTGACATTGATCAAATGCCACTTAATAGTATGTGTGATTCATGATGAGGTGGAAGACTTACTAACCCAACCTGCCCAACACATATGAAATTGAAGTCAACCTTTAAGCTGAACACACTCAGGTGCCTCGAACCCACTCAAATTTTATACACCCTGGTTTGGATTTATTTGATTGGATTTTTTTTCTTGTTTTTTTTTTCAATTTAAAAATTTGTGAAAAAGAATTGAGCATGTTAGGATGTATTTATTTGTTGAATCTTGATTGGTAGCTCGAAAAAGCCCTCCCCCGAATCCCCCGAATTTAAAAAGAAGAAGAAGGAAAGGAGGGGCCAACATCAACCAGAGAGGTGCTTAGGCAGAGGCGGAGGCGGAGGCAGAGGAGGGGGAGGCGGAGGCAGAGGAGGGGGCTGCGAGGCAGAGGCAGAGGCGGGGGCAAGGCTGCGATGAGCTGCTGTGACAAGCTGCAACAAGGCGACGGCGACGGCGGGCGAAGGGCTATCGCAGCTGCCATCTCCTCCTCTTCCCCTCTCTTTTCTTTCTCTCTCTTTTTCTCTTTCTCTTCTAAATTTCGGGCTGTTCGAGAGGACAAATTTGTAGGAAAAAATCATTTTTCAAAAAAATTTATGACAGAGGAATAAGAGACATATTCTTTAAAGTATACCATTTTTCAAAATTGCATACATACACCATTCATATGATTGTAGATATATTTTGAAATACAATTTCTCTTAAAAAGAAAGTTGACCAAGTTTTTTTTTTTTGTTTTTTCATTTCATTTAAATTTTGAATCCTAAGTTTACTACTACTATTTTTTGAACCCTGTATTTCAAACATATGGTCGTAATGTAAGTGGCCCACATATGCATACAACAAAGGGGCCCCAAAATAAGTAAATGGCCCACACATAAGCCACAAATGGGGCCCAAAACTAGTTACGGCCACAATTTAGGAAATAGAAAGTTAGAGCAACTTCTTGGCTAATTGCTAAAATGACAATGTCAAAATTAATAATTTATTATAGTGTCAAAATATTACTTTTTTAGTAACGTCGTTTTAATGATGCAAATATCATTTTGGCTGAATTCAAACCATTGTTTATTTTTATCCTTTTTCTGTTTCATTATACCATTACTGCTATTTGTTAGTTTGTTAATTATAATTCAATTAATTGAAAATGAAAGCTTTGTATGACTTTTCATATATATTATAGTTAATTTGTTACCGATATAGTTGTGTATAATAACATAATATAAAAAAAAAAAAAAAAAAAGAAAGAAAAAGAAAATAAAAAAAAAAAACTAAAAACAAAAACAAAAACAAAAACAAAAACCTTAAAGTGCTACTTGACCTACAAAGGGGGCAAGAAAAGGGAAAGGGAATGGGAACGTCATCTAAAGCCGATGATCCCTCAAAAATACTGACAATTAAAAATATTATTTGTTTGTTTCTTTTTGTTGGAGGTTAAATTTACCCTTGAAAAAGGGTTTTATTTTTGTCATCATTTGCTAAGAAGATGGATAACTGATGTATGAAATCTAACTCCAATAAATATTTCTCAATCTTTTAAGTGATCATTAGTTGAAGCTAGATACATAGAGGAACACAAATATAAAACTTGATGCTCATGTTTTGGATACTTGTGCTTTTGGAAATATGAGGATCTCCATGAGACAGATGATGACAAGAAAAAACATCCATAGCCTGTATAAAATGTAATTAGACATTTGAGAGTCTAATCATCAATTCACTGGTGGAATACTAATGTATCCAAAAAGGGGTTGGTACTATATGCCCTGATTGGCTCTTGCTAAAGAAATGAGCTGGTCCCCTATCTCCTTTGTCTGATGGCCTAACTTGACCAATACAAATTATTACTTTAAAATTCAAAATATACATATGACCAAGAGGAGACATAAGAGCACAGTGGAGGTCAAATTATGTGTTGCACTTTTGTTATTCTAAGACATGGGTACTTCCATGCAATACTCTTCTACATTCAAAATAATCTTCAATGAAAAAAAAAATAGTAAATATTATTAAATTTTTATTATTTCAGCAATTACTATAGAGAAATTGATCAGCATTTAAACTAGTTGGGAATAACTTGTTGAGCAGAATCATTGCAACTCACTATAAGATTAATGATTCATGTTTATTTATTTTCTAAAATATAATAATTAAATTGATATGTAATTTACTTGTAGTTTGAATGTGAAACTAATAGTATATAAGTCTTGTTTAGGTTTTAAGTGTTTCCACTGATTTCATTTTCGTGTGTGATAAATTTCTGTGCGTAGCAAACTACACAAATTGACTAGTCTAAAAATTAATCCTCTATACCATTCATGCACTGCATGTTTCAAATTAAAATAATTAAATGGTAATGTGTATGTAAATTTGGGTTTGTTAGGCACACTTGTTATGGTGTCACTGTCACTCATCTATTTTATTATGGGTGCCTCTGTTGGACTGAACCACAAATATAGATATATTAGGGTTTAAGTGAAACTTTTCTTTCAAAAGGGCTCTCTCCTCTATATTCTGTACATAGATTATTTTACTTTACTTTGTCAAGTTTTTGAATTTTGAGAGTTTCTTCCCAATTCTCAAACTGGGTACCCTCCAGAGATGTTCCATTTCAAGATTATCAAGAACAAAGAAAAGAGATGTCTCTGTTTTCTTGTTAAACCCAGTTACTCAAACAACTCACTCTCTCTTTCTTTCTCTGTCTTGAGTGATGGAAACTATCAAAAGAACCAAATTTAGCAAACCCAATTCAAGAGACATCTCTTTGGTCATCCCCAACCAATCGCCCTCCTGGTTTAGTGTTATTCTGAAACTCTGCAATTATAGCCTATCCTCTGTTTGATTTTATTCCTGTATGAGATAGTTCGTTAGAAAAAGATGGAATTCTCGAGTTCTTTTGATGGGGTTTCGAGGATTTATGGGTTTCAGGATATAATAAGAGGTGGGTCGTCGTCTTCTTCGTCTTTGGTGTTGGATGGTGAGAGGGGAGAGCTTGTGAAGGCTATGGTGACGGCTGGGCAAAAAGGGGTAAAAGCAGAAAAAGCATTGGCTGCTTTGAGGAACCATAGTGAGGCAGAAAGGCGGCGGAGAGAGAGGATTAATGGTCATCTCGCCACGCTTCGAAGCCTAATCCCTGGCACCAATAAGGTCACATTTTGCTTCTTGATTGATTATTTTTGTATGTTTGAGTAATGTCTTTACATGCTAGTTTGAATGGATGATAATATCAATCATGCCAGGACCTATAATTGTTGTTGAGCTAAAGTATTTGTGAACACAACTAAATAAGAGATGAGAATTTGTCAATTTTGATAGAACTAAGGTTATCATGCAGTTATGGATTCTTAATAACCTTGGTTGCTTATTGATAGGAATAGATTACCTTTGTTGAATTCTAGTGGTGCATGCACAAGTAAAAATGCGAACGGGTGATAACGTTTTTGTTAAATTCCTAGGTAGATATGGGGAAAGGTTATGAGATGTTGGAATCGTTATCTCCCTTTGTGTAAGATAAAAAGAACTTGGTGTTTTATTTATAAATATTGATGTTGTTAAAGGAAGCTAGGTCTTTGGAACATTCACCTTAAATAAAGCCAAATAACACTTTGTATTCCAACATACCCATGTTGAACATAGCAATATTGATTATGAGAAAGAAGAAACATTGCAAGCTGGTGTTTTCCAAAAATGGCTTGTTAAGCACTCCTAAAAGCTTCCCTAGATTGGTATTATGCGATTGAAGGTAGTGAACTGATGTTATATGGGCCTTGGGCCCCGTTGTTTGATGCGTTTCATGGGCCTTTCTTTAAGACTTTAACAGATGTGGGTAACTGATAACTGCTTTCTAAGTGTTTGTCCGATTCATGAGAGTCTATGTCTTGGAAATGGTTTCATTGCAGAAACTGATAGGAACATTACCTACTCTAGCTTCCCTGTTTGTTTGAATCATGTGATTCGCTTGTTTGTGGCTCCCAAGAAAATTGATTTCCCCATACAATAATATATATTGTTGCTACCATAATATATATGTCTCTATCATGAGAATGTTGATATTTAAGCTTCATTTTGCGTTTACAGATGGAAAAAGCATCATTACTGGCTGAGGTTATCAACAACTTGAAAGAATTGAGAAGAAATGCGGCAGAAGCTACAAAAGGTATTCTTGTACCAATGGATATTGATGAAGTCAAAGTTGAACAACAAGAGGATGGATCAGATGGTGCCTCTTGTGCTATCAGGGCATCTCTATGTTGTGATTATAAACACGAGATTTTGTCTGATTTGAGGGAAGCTCTCGATGCCCTCAATCTGAAAAAAGTAACGGCAGAGATTGCTACCTTGGGAAGCAGGATGATTTATGTTTTTGTCATAGCTTGCTGCAAAGAAGGGAAGGCGGAGGATAATGAAGGATGCCAGGTTCTTGCAAGTTCTATTCGCCGCGCTCTGAGGTCTGTACTCGATAAATTTTATGCCTCAGAGGAAATTTCATCGAGAAATACGCTTTCAAACAAGAGAAGAAGAGTTCCATTTTTTGAATCTTCACACTCATCTTCATTAGGAGATTTCTGGTGAAAGAAGATGATTCTTTGTTATTAGATAGTTTGTATGTGTTTCATTACGTTAGTTTTTATGTTCATATGCTTTGGCAAATGAAATGCTTATACAAAAGTTGATAGCACGTATTATATCATGTATTTTCCAACTCAAGAGGAAGTAGATATGTATGCAACTGTCGGGCACCTGATTTGCATATTACTGAAATACTCTACTTTCTTTGGTCGATAGTTATGTATTATTGTTAAATATGAGAAATGGGTGGTGAAACAGTTTTAGGCTTAACTTTAGATTGAAAATTCACGGAGAAGTGTATAGAATAGACCAATCAATGCGTCATTCAAATTTATTTTGAGTGTAGTGAGGATTACACCTATACTGAATATGAGTTGCACAGTAATTTTTGTGCACTTCTATTTGCATTGCAAAACTGCAATTTAGTATAGAAAATGTCACTATTATGAAGATATACAACTTTTGAAGGTGATTAATAGCTATAGTCAAATAATAAGGTTATATAATTTCCTTGCTATTCAATTTTGGCATTTTCAACTTCCAAAGGTACAGTTGAACATGCTTAATATAACGGAAAACATTATTCAAAACACAAGAATTACATAGGGTACTAGGTGCACACAACAATCCTTTGTGTAGACATTCATATTAACATCCAACTTGTGAACTTTTATATTAAAAAAAATTGCCGACATTTTGCAAAACTAATATATATGAAAGCCGGCATTGACTACGATGCTATATAAACAAATTGACAATTGTTAGGTCTCTCTCTCTCTCTCTCTCTCTCTCTCTGTGTGTGTGTTTTCCTTCTGTTAGAGAAATATATATCGGAAGGGGAAACTCGTCTGCACAAGGAAAAGATAACATTAACACCTAGTCACACTAATACTTAAAACATGGAATGTAGTTCTAATTAATTAATTCATCAAGAGAATAAGCTGCATTAGTATTTTCACTGAGTGGGAGGCTAATAATATGTCTAATTCGGTAAAATTTCCTCAAGTTTTAAGAAATTTAAGCTCGAACAGAACAACAAAAACAAAAATGTTGGTAGCGCATGTTTTCTTTAGTGCTGTTTGTTCCCATCTGTTTATGTAGAACCTACTTCTTTGGGTAGAACAAAAGTCTATTGAAGGCAAAATTATGCTCATATCTTTTATCTTGTCTGTCCATAGAGAAGGGGAAAGCAACTTCCAATGTAACATGCATAAATTGTTGGTTGTTGAAACATGTTCTAAAGAACTATTGAAAACTGATTCGTATTAGATAAATCTAAGGTTTCTTTGAAACATCAGAGACTTGTATAGGATGTTATTATTAATCTAGCAAAACAATAAATAAAATATTGAGAACAAATATTATGATAACTATAACATAAAATATGATAGCAACTAGAATTTAAATTAGAGTTGTGTTGTCTGTAAAATTGATTTTCTTCAGCATTGTGAAAGTGTTAACGGAGTGAAGCAAATTCAAGATAAAACTCAATGTGCAGTGTCTCTCGTCCAACCACTAGAAGACTTGAACCAAGTCATGAATCAGAGTTGCCCAAAAAAAATGAAAGTAGTATTTACATTATTAAGATGATAGAACAATAGAGGGACAAGAATAGTAATTAAAGGCGACTTTTGTTTCTATATGAATCAATATTATTACATTCCAATTCCGTCCCAATAACTCCTAAGAAAAATCTCGAATTGGATCCCAAATTGACAGGTCAGTAAGAGGACTATCATATATATATATATATATATATATATATATAGTAAAATAGTAACCACCTAACAAAGTCTTATGAATACAAATAAATAGAAACGATCTGCAATAAAGCTCATAATGGATGGTTTCATATTGGTATTGATTATTGAAATAAATTTTGTAACTGATTTATTAAATCTGTTAAACGTATTTTATTTGTATTTAAATATTCTAACAATTATAAGGTGCTAGTGGAAATCATTTGCAGGTGACAAAAAAGGGAAAATATTTTAGAATTCTGTTTCACAGATACTGAATGATACAGCCACATTTTGCTGTGTATGCAGAGCACTTTAAAAATGTTTGAAGTGCAACATAGCAACACTCAAAATCAGAAGATAATCACATGATAATTGAAGTTAGCATAAAAAACTTAATAAAATCTGTTAGGCAAAAATTCTCAACTCTGATGCGGTGTTAGTAATTGCAAAACTGAAGTAGATTGAAGATTGTTGAAATAATAATAAAGAACAAACACATCCTTCTAGCTTTTGGTTCTGCAAGATCTGTACCACAGAATCAGAAAACAAAGTATTCTATACCCGATAACAAAAACCAACATCACAACTAAATTCATCCATTTTTCAGACTCTTTCAAACCTTGTTGCATCAAGAAGCCATTGCCATCCAACATGCATACTCCTTGCACACTCTCCACACATCTCCCTCGCCCCTTCTTTCCACCATACTCGTTTATCAATAAACACTCAAATGGGTATTTGAACAAACTCAAGTAATACATAAAAATCCAGTACTTCGGTATGTCATCTTTTGCTATGAAGAACCCAGAAAAGAGGAAAAAAGCTCCCATAACCCCCGCAATCAAAGAAGCCCCCATGATGAAATTTGGAACCAGTGCACTAAAACATGCGACAAAAGAGTTTGACATCAAAACAACTAAGCAAACCACAAGAGAGAAATAGAGGAAACCATCAATATCTCTTCTTAATCCGACTAGCCAATAAACCGTGGTTGTGTAGAGAAGAGCCACGGTTAGAAGGAAAGGAATGAAGACGAGGGTGTTTGAGATAACGTAAGAAGAGATTCTGTAGACTCCTCTTGATGTCTCTCTCATTAAAATTCTCCTCTCTTGTAGGAAGATTGGAAGGGCTTCTGTTGTCGAAGACAACAAGAAGGTGAGACTGAAAGCAAAGAACCCGATTTGAGTTTGAAGCTTAAACCTCTTCGGATCATTGTTCACATTCATGAATATCGTCCCCAGTAGAATCCCTACAAGGAATGCTTGTATTGTTCTTGCAGCAAACAATTGTTTGGTCCTGAAAATGTTTTTGCAGAATCTCTGGCTCAGTATTAATACTTCGCTGAATTGCGAATTTGGGTAGGAGATATGATTTACTTCTAAATTGCCCATGTTGGGCGTGTTCTTATTTTCACTCATTTCAATGTTGTTACTATTTTCTTGGATATCTATGAACAGGCTTTCCATGACATCAATAGAAAACTCAAGCACGTTGACATGTCGAGGGATGGAATGGCCTGCAAGCTTAAGCCTCTCCTCCAGTTGATGCAACGATCCATGGTGGTGAACAATGCCCTTGGATAACAGAACAACATGATCAATCAACTCAAGGATTCGAAACCCGGGTTGATGAATTGTTAGTACAATTGTCTTACCTTGATTCTTCGCCATGGATTTAAGCAGCAAAACCACGTGAAGAGCCGACGCTGAGTCAAGTCCTGAGGTTGGTTCATCTATCAGAAGAACATCAGGGTCATGAACGAGATCAGCACCAATTGAAACCCTCCTCTTCTCACCACCCGATATGCCACGCCTTGATTCACTCCCGATTCTCATGCCAGCGATGTTTTCTAATTCGAGTTCCTCTAACAGCTCTCTCACTCTCGCAGCAGCCTTGTCAAGCCTACCTTGCAGCCTTAGACGCGCACTATACATGAGAGTTTCTTCAACAGTCAGAAGCGGAAAGAGAGCTTCATCTTGAGTCACGTAACCCGAGACTCTACGAAAGTACGCACGACTCATTGGCTGGTCATTTACAAGAACATGGCCAGAGACTCTACATGACATGGCCATTCCGGCCAGAATATCCAACAATGTGGTCTTGCCAGCTCCGCTCGGGCCCGTGATTGCCGTGATCTGCCCGGGATTGGCTTCACAGTTGACATTCCTCAGAATGTACCTATTTGAATCAGTAGCCCCTTCCCACCACCACCCAACCCAACCAAGCTCGCTATATCGCGGACATAATTTGCACGAGAGGTTCTTGGTTTTAATCCAGTATTGGGTTTTCTGACCATCGGAATCCTGTGACATCACCCGCAATTCCATGGGAAGGTAGAGGGGGGAAGACTAAAAGACAGTATGAAGAAGTAGAGGGAAGAGGATGAGCCAACACACCAAACTGGCTCTTCTTTATTTATATGGCTACAGAGATTACATATATGGTATAGTACACATGCCCTATTGTGTCTTTGGTTATTTTTTTGGGAGTTTAAAAAAAGTGGGAATAGATTGTTGTGATGATGCAATAATTAGTCAATCAGAGGGAGTGTGGACTCAACTTGAGGACCCCACATCACTTTAGAGAGTCACTTGGTCTCAAATGAGGCATGTTTTGAACCACTATTGCATCATGGTTTTGGTTGTGCATCTTGACAGTTTCAAAACAGTTTGCAGTGAACAATAAAATAGTAGATAATATGAAAATAATAGAAAATAGGAAAAAATTGACCTACAAAATTGAAAGGAGGGTATAGTCAGTGTCTTAAAATTGTTATTTTTGTCTACGCGAGAATACAAATGGAGAGTATGTTTACAATTTATCGTGCTTAGAAAGAATATGAACAAATTAGGTATCTGGCAAAAAAATCTCTCATATAATTCTTTGTATATCACTATTTTAATGCACCTAAAATAATAGATATATCCTTTATACATCTGTGAAGTTTTTTTTAGGTATCACTGACTTGTAAAATGTCATTTATATAGAGAGAAGGCATAATAATATGTCGAAGAATAAAACTATATGCACCAATTGGTATATTAATTAGTATATTAATGAAATATTTTGAATTTTTGTAATTTGTATAATAGATAGGGTATATAGTTTTGAAGTAATAATGTCATAATATATATTAGTACACTAATTGATATACCAATTGATACATATAGCACCACTACATATCAAATAATGTCCCCTATTAAAATGAATTCGGTTTTTTATTAAAAGGTATAAAAGCTGTAATAACATGTTTGTGAATGAATCAATTATTAAAAGGTATAAAAGCTGTAATAACATATTTGTAAATAAATCAATTAAAACCAACATAAATTTTGTGGGGTGAACAACAAATTAATTAAATAATATATGATTTTTATTAACATATTTGTGGACTCTAGAAAGGTAATGAATTAACTTAAACCAATATAAATTTTGTATTAAATAACATTTTATATTTATTAGCATATTAATTCTAGGAAAGTAATGAATTAATTAAAACCAACATTAATTTTGTAACAGTAAACAATAAATTAGTTAAATAATATTCATTTTGGGGTTAGATTTTGGATTGGGGAGGCACTGTTGAGACTCATGAGGTCATAATGAGTTTTATTCTATTGATTTAAATTGTTCAATTTTTTTTTGGAGAGGATCGCAATAAAATAAAGTTGCTATAATTATTTGATTGATTTAATTTTTTTTTTAGAGGTACTTACGTGTACATCCTAATAAATGAACTTATTGTCTAATAGGTCTTATGGGAAAAATTTGTCATAAAAAAATGTCACTAATTATAAGTTTTAGCAATAATTTATAAAAATCATGACAAAAAAGTCACTAATTATTAATTTTTAGCAACATATAAAAAATTGTTACAAAAAAAATATTTTTAGCGACAATTCTATCAAGACTTATTTTCAATAGGACTTGATAGAAATTAAGTCAAACTATTATGATGTATTAGTATTTTACCCTTTTTTTTTTAATATATAGATGATATACCTGGAGAGTTCACAATACTAAAAATAAGGTTATTTGTAATAATATCACATACATATAGAATTAATCGTATAAAATAATTTTGATTGCATATATCATATAATTGAATTTATCATGAAATATATAATTTCATTTAAATTGTGGTATTTATGTTTTATGTGATTGATTCGCGTCAATAGATTTATGATATTGCACGCTTACACTGACAAAAAGTGAATTGCAGTTGAGCAGCCGTTAAGTGGAGTTTGGTAATACCAAGAAATGTGATAAGGTTGGCTTTTCAATGGGAGACACTAAAAATAAAAAATAAAAAATCACATTTATTTGGTGAATACTGATGAATAGAACGCCCTTCATCTTTTCGGTGCTGTGGCAATATATGAGGCCAAGATTGGACACATGGATAGCATGCTCCAGGACAAGTGCCTTTGACTCCAGTTTTTGCCAAGAAAATGCTTTGTGAAAAAATAAACAAATAAATCGAAATAAGAAATAATATAGCATTTAACTAGCGGTGCTCACAGATCTGGTTGAGTTGGATAACTCTATCTTCATTATCTGTCCGAACTTAAACGTATTGAGAAAAATCAATTTGCATCCGTTTACTTAATAAACAAGTGTAGATTGAGCAAATAATGGAGTTTTATGGGTAAATGCAATTTGGGTTTTGTTTTCGAACTATTTTTTAGTAATGCACACAAAATTTTTGATTGCTCACTTTTTATATATAAAAAAAAAAATAAAAATAAAAGAGCCAACTTTCATATTTCATAAATAGCAAATATAAATACTAAGTAAAAGTTTTTTTTTTTTTTAACACAACATAAAAAAAAAATTTTTTTAACACAAAAAAAAAAAAAAAAAAAAAAAAATCGTAATCTTAGGAGTGTTAGTGAATCAGGTTGAGTTAGATGACCTCCCATTTGCTATCTGTCCGAACTTAGGTGAATTAAGAAAAATACATCTTCATCTGTTCGCTCGAATCATTAAAATCGTCTATTATGTGATGGATTGATTCAGAGCATTCAATTTTGATGAATCAAATGAATACTTACTTAGCCCTACATGCAACAATAAAACTTCAAATTTTGAAATGGGTTTAAATAAATTAGCAAGATACGGGCCACGTGAGTTATAAAAAAGGAAAAAAATTATAAATTAATAGTAGAGAGAGAGAAAAATATTATGTATTGTATATATTCAATCTATCAATTACAATGGGGGAAGCCTGTATATATAGCCCAAGAAACCTAGGTGTATAGGAAACCTAGTGTAGACGTCCCCGAATGCTCCAGGAGGGATGAGTCCCCTGTTCACTTTTGGGCCGAGTATGCCTCCGGATTCGAAGCACCCTTCATGGATTTCACGATCGACCAAGTGAAAAGCCTCCGAATTTGGAGCCCCATTAGTGAATGCCACTTTTGGGCTGAGTAAGCCTCCGGATTCGGAGCGCCCTTCGTGGGTTTCACGATTGGCCAAGTGAAAAGCCTCTGAATTCGGAGCCCCATCAGTGAATTCCACTTTTGGGCCGAGTATGCCTCCGGATTCGAAGCACCCTTCATGGATTTCACGATCGACCAAGTGAAAAGCCTCCGAATTTGGAGCCCCATTAGTGAATGCCACTTTTGGGCTGAGTAAGCCTCCGGATTCGGAGCGCCCTTCGTGGGTTTCACGATTGGCCAAGTGAAAAGCCTCTGAATTCGGAGCCCCATCAGTGAATTCCACTTTTGGGCCGAGTATGCCTCCGGATTCGAAGCACCCTTCATGGATTTCACGATCGACCAAGTGAAAAGCCTCCGAATTTGGAGCCCCATTAGTGAATGCCACTTTTGGGCTGAGTAAGCCTCCGGATTCGGAGCGCCCTTCGTGGGTTTCACGATTGGCCAAGTGAAAAGCCTCTGAATTCGGAGCCCCATCAGTGAATTCCACTTTTGGGCCGAGTATGCCTCCGGATTCGAAGCACCCTTCATGGATTTCACGATCGACCAAGTGAAAAGCCTCCGAATTTGGAGCCCCATTAGTGAATGCCACTTTTGGGCTGAGTAAGCCTCCGGATTCGGAGCGCCCTTCGTGGGTTTCACGATTGGCCAAGTGAAAAGCCTCTGAATTCGGAGCCCCATCAGTGAATTCCACTTTTGGGCCGAGTATGCCTCCGGATTCGAAGCACCCTTCATGGATTTCACGATCGACCAAGTGAAAAGCCTCCGAATTTGGAGCCCCATTAGTGAATGCCACTTTTGGGCTGAGTAAGTCTCCGAATTCGGAGTGCCCTTCGTGGATTTCATGATTGGCCAAGTGAAAAGCCTCCGAATTCGGAGCCCCATCAGTGAATGCCATTTTTGGGCCGAGTAAGCCTCCGGATTCGGAGTGCCCTCCATGGAAATCACGATTGGCTAAGTTAAAAGCCTCCGAATTTGGAGCCCCATCTGTGCAAGACACGTTTGGGCTGAGTAAGCCTCCGGATTTGGAGCGCCCTTCGTGGAAATCACGATTGGCCAAGTTGAAAGCCTCCGAATTCAGAGCCCTATCCGTGCAAGACACGTTTGGGCCGAGTAAGCCTCCAGATTCAGAGCGCCCTTCGTGGAATTCACGATTGGCCAAGTTAAAAGCCTCCAAATTTGGAGCCCCATCCGAGCAAGACACGTTTGGGCCGCGTAAGCCTCGTGGAATTCACGATCGGCCAAGTTAGAAGCCTCCGAATTCAGAGCCTCCTAATTCGGCACGCTTTTCATATATTATGATTAACAAGCATAAACGCAGTTGACGAAAAATGGAAGATGATCGATAATATGTTTAGACATAAATTGAAACAACATGAAAACATTTAAAATAATATGTTTTATTGAATTTATTGAATTAATCGATAATACATAATTCGCTCCCAATCTACGTTGGAGTGGTACAATATCTTCGATTTTATCCGGCATCCCCTTCGTCATCGCTCTTCTTGACTTTGAAAGCTGCAAAGGGATAATGATGATTCTGATATAACGGCAACACCGAATCAACGCCTGCTACCCGAAGAACCTCTGCGGCCTAAAGAGCCTTGACCCACCCGTGCTTAAATCCACGATTCTCACATCGGCAGACCTCCTCGGTAAGCTTTTCCTTAGTCTTCTATATCCCGACTTTCCGGCCATCATGGAAACCTTGTTCATAAGGCCTGGTCTTTGCAGCCTCTATTGCAAACATGCTCGTCGTATCATGATCAGTAATCGAATGACTTATAAGCCGTTGGGTCACCCTTTCATCCACAATCGGGTTAGCTTGGCCGGGCGACTGAGTCCCCGCGGTCTTGACTTTTCTTAACTCACGCTCGGCTCTCTCCGCACGAACCTCTAAATTACGAATGCGTTCATCCTTCTGTTCGATCTCCCACCGCGCAGCACGAAGGCGCATGCCGATCTCATAGGCGATGTACAGTTCTTTCACCGCTCCGTGAACGTCCTTTCGAAACACTTCGAAGTCTGGTCGACCAACCATCGACTGCTAGACTTCTGGAGGGAAAATTTGTCGTGCGAATTCAACTGCCACATCTGGGTCACGCACAATTGAATCCACTTCTATCATCAGTTTGTTCCCCACAAAAACCGCAAAACTCAACGGACGCGCAGTCACACTGGTTTCTCATCGCGAGCGTGGTTGAGGGGAGCTGCCCCATTG